ACTCCTCCATAGGAACTGTTTTTTGTTTTTTTTTTTGTTTTGTTTTGTTTTTTTTTATGTTCTTGTCTCTGCAGAGACAGTGTCTCGGGTACTACAGGCGGATACCTAACTCACTATGTGGCCATGAATGACTTTGAACTTGCCCTCCCACCATGTTTTTTGCTGTTGTTTCATTCTTTTATTTCTAGTTTGCTTTGTTTTGTTGAGACAGGCTCTCTCTATTAATAGCCCTGGCTCCTGGAACTCTCTCTGTAGACCAGGCTGTCCTCAAACTCACAGAGATCCACCTGCCTCTGCCTCCCAAGTGCTGAAGTTAGACATGTGCCTTCTCATCCAGTTTATCTGGACCTGGGATCGGATCCAGGGCTTCCTAAATGCTAGGCAAACGTTCGTATCTCTGACTCCTACATAAGCATTTTGCTGTTGTTGTTGTTGTTTTAGGTAGAGTCGGTTTTGGAGATATTTGAGACAGGGTTTCTCTGGGCATCCTTTGATGTCCTGGAACTCACTCAGCAGACTGTCCTTGAATTAACAGAGATCCACCTGCCTCTGCCTCTTGAGTTCAGGGATTAAAGGTGTGCACCATCAGAGCCCAGTGAGCTATGATACTTTGGATCTACAGAGCATGGTACAGTGAAGTCCTCAGTCAATGGCATCTCATTTTTTGTCACATCTAAGTTCTATCTCTATTGGTTTCTCATTCATTCATTCGTTCATTGTGTGTGGAAGAATATATGTGCCACGGCATACAGGTGTCTGCCAGTCAAAGGATAAGTTTTTGAATCAGTTTTTCTTCCTTCTATCTACTTGTGGGTTCCATGAACCCAACTCAGGTCACCAGGCTTTACATAGGAAACACCTTCACCTGCTGAGTCATCTTGAGTTTTTGTAAGATTTATTTTTATTATTATTTTAAATTATGTGTGTGTGTGTGTGTGTGTGTGTTTGAGTGTGAGTGCAGGTGCCCTTGGAAAGAAAAAAGCTTTGGTCCCCATGGAACTTAAATTTTGGGCCCTGGTAAGCTATCCTGGTAAGCGCCTGTGTGCTGGGAATTCAGCTTGGGTCCTCTGCAAGAGCAGGGAGCACTTGTAACTACTGAGTCACCTCTCCAGTCCCCATATTCCCATATTCTATATTACTTTCTCTTTTTGAGTCAGACTCATTTACAGATGAAGTTAATCTTTGCAAAATAAAATAAAATAAAAAATAAAAAGAAACAGTGAAGGTTTCTTTCAAAACAAGGGCCTTTCTGTAGAGCCCTGGCTGTTCTGGAATCACTATGTAGACCAGGCTGACCTCAAACTCACAGAGATCCACCTACTCTGCCTCCTGAGTGATGGGATTAAAGGTGTGCTCCACAATACCGTTTTATATTAATTTTTTTTTTTTTTGGTTTTTCGAGACAGGGTTTCTCTGTGGTTTTGGAGCCTGTCCTGGAACTAGCTCTGTAGACCAGGCTGGTCTCGAACTCACAGAGATCCGCCTGCCTCTGCCTCCCAAGTACTGGGATTAAAGGCGTGCGCCACCACTGCCCGGCTCTATATTAATTTCTTAACAATTCATTTAAGGTTCTGGAGCGATAGCTCAGGGGTTTAGGGTACATGCTACTCTCGCAGAGGACAGGAGTTTGGTTCCTGTCACCCAAGACAGTTCCTGTCGTAAGGTTGCTCACGAGTGTAACTCCAGCTCCAGGGCATCACATGCCCTCTGCTTTCAAGATCACTGGTACTCATGTGCACATACACCCCCATCTATACATAAACTGAAATAAATCTCTTTAAAAAACAATTCATTTCAATTGAAATATATGTATGTATGTATATATATATATATATGAGACAGTGATATACATATATGTATGTAAATCTTTTCCTAAACCAGGAATCTAATGAAATTTTTGTGACATACATGAAGTAAACACATAACCATTACAAAGGTCTGCCCGTAAAGAGCAAGTAGTTGGAACTCTCTGAAAAGCGCTACTCAAGAGTCTATGCCCTATAAAAGCCACAACTTGCAGTCTCAAAAAAACTGTATAGTTACAACAACAACCCAGAGCAGCTAATTTCAATAGAACTGTGCTTCATACAAGCTCAGATAGTAGCTGCATGTGCTCATGCATGCCTGCAGTCCCCACTCAGGAGACTGAGGCAGGGGGATGCCTGGTTTGAACCAGCTTGGACCACACAACATGAACCTTTTTTAAAAAAAAATACAAAAAACAAGAACAACAAAAGAACACAGAACCTTTATGGACTACGAACCAGTCCCAAGATGTCTGTTAAAACTGATGTATTTGGAAATAAGTTATTATAAAAACACTCACCATGAAGTAAAAATATTGATTGTGTGTTTTTAACAGTGATTCTAGTAGTTTGGGATTCAACTCTTAGACTATTCTTGAGCTGAGAATTGAGCCCATTCCCTACCGTTGATGTGCGACTTAATGCTGCAAGAGCAACAAGAGATACTGCAACAATGCAAAGGATTACCTGTGTTCTTGTCCACACGATGAGATACCGACGGATTCTACTTAGCCTTACATTTGGTTAGGACTGACAGCTAAGATCACAGGCATAAACCAGAGAGCTCTTTCCTTTCCTTTAATCCCAAAGCAATTTATAATAATAGACAAAATTGTATTGCAAAAATCTCAGGGGAAAACTACATCTCGGAAAGGCATAAGCCTTACAGGCTGTGGCACCTCATAATCACAAACAAAACAGGGGTATGGTATTTCTCCAATTGGGGTATTGGGGCACACACCTTTAATCCCAGAACTCCCTGAAAAGGCAGGTAGATCTCTATGAGTTCCAATCACACAGATAGTTCCAGGAGAGCCAGGGCTACACAGTAAGACACTGCCTCAAAAAAAAACTAAACAAAACAAAACACAAACAAACAAACAAACCCCACCACCACCACAACAAAACTGACGAAATGGAAGGCTGTCTGGATATCAAGCCTTTAAAAGCAACGCTCTGTTATAAGTTAGAACTTCTGCTTAAATGATTGAAAAGTCAAGTTCTCTTTTTCTGCGTGTCTCTGTGCACATGGAGGTCAGGGGCTGATCCCTCCACCCCACCCATTTTTTGAGACAGGGTTTTTCTGTGTAACAGCCCTGGCTGTCTGTCTTGGGACTGTTTCGTAGACCAGGCTGGCCTCGAACTCACTGAGATCTGCTTGCCTCTGCCTCCCAAGTGCTGGGATCAAGTGTGCGCCACCACTTCCCGGCCAAGAACTGATTCTTGATTGTTTTCTAACTTACGTATCTTGGCAGGGTCTCTCGCCTGAAACCCAAAGCTCACTGAGTCAGCTGGTCTAGCCTGCTCTGGGGATCGCCTGTGCCCCCTTCCACAGGAAAGTTGCCACACTCGCCTGGCTTTTACCTAGGTGCTGGGGACCTCACACTTGTCATACAAACGCTTTGTCCTCAAGCTCCAGAAAGGGGAATTCTACCTAAAAAGCTGAGAAAACATCTTTTGGATCTCACAGTGTTGGCATCGTGAGGCAGTTCAGTTATGTTTCCTCCAGTCACACTAACCAAAACGTCAATGGATGCCTAAGTCAGTTAAGTCAAGCGGGAATTTATCTTACTAGTCACTGATGTGTGGGCACCTTACCTTTGTTTGGGTGAAAGCATTGCTGCAGTAGGCTCCCTGCTCCAGCTCCTTTCCCCCAGTCCTACTTTCTAGGTAACACTCAGATAAACCCTATTAGAAACTCGGTCACTGCTCTGTTCACAAAACGGTTCAGTCCTTTCTCAGATACCTCAGAGAAAAAGCCTCTTTCTCTTGGACAGGGTCTCAGTATGCAGCCCTAGTTGGCCTGGAACTCACTTTTGTAGACCAGGCTAGCCTCAAACTCACAGCGATCCACATGCCTCTGCCTCTGGAGTGCTGGAACTAAAGGCCTACCAACCACTCGGGCAAAAGTCAAAACCTTAATGACTCCCAAGACACACTCCCCTAACCTTAGCCCACCAGAACTGGAAGTTCTGTCTATAGTGGCTCAGCTTGCCACAGTTACCACAGCTTCCTTTCCAGTGCTTGGATACACAGGCTAACCAGACTTCGGTTCCTTTTGCCTGGAGTGCCTTTCCTTCCCCCAGGTATGACTGGGATTGTGCGATCTTCCTCTCAGTCGTCTTCCGGGTGAGCCTTTCATCACCCTGTCCCCCCTCCCACCGGTCTTTTCTACCCCCATTTCATGGTTTCATAGTTTGCACAGTATCTGACCATGTATGTTGTTTACTGAGTGTGTGCACTCCTGCGTGAAGAACATCTACCTACGTTCTGTATTCAGTGTTTTAACCTGTGCCAAGAGCAGTACCTAGCACACAGTACATGTTCAACAAATATTTGCACAATGAACAAACTTGGAGACTCTCAGACTTAGAAACCCATCCGGAGCTGGGAATAAGAGCTGGCGGGTAGCCACACATTCCCAGATGGTATTTGGTGGTGTGTGTTTTAAACTTACATGCAGTACCTTTTGTTCAGCACATCCTTCTCTCTGATTTTTTAGAGACAGTAAGAGGCATTCAAATTCCTTACTAGTTTGCAAGGAAGAAAACCAATGATGCAGAAAGCTGATTTCTGGATGATTCGATTCTTAATCTTATTGGTTAATAAAGAAAACGCCTTCTCAATGTATCTGGTTTCTCTCCCTAAACTAAAGAAAAATATAGCGAATATGTGTTGCCTTTTGGAGGGAGGTGCTTCCTCAAAGCGCCTCAACTCTCTAGCAGTACAACTTAGTTTTCTGGGGGGTGGGAGTGGGTATTGTTCGCGGGTGTCTCTTTTTCGCCCCGAGGTGTCTATTGTGCTGTACGGTGGGAAGCAGGAGAGGAGTCTGGTAGGAAGGGATGCTGAGCGCCGCACGTCTGCACACAAAGTGGGGACCCCGCGCGCCTGGGACCGCGCACTTAGGCCTGGGCCGCCACGGTGGCCTCCCTGTGGCCCCGCACTCCCCCGGTCCTCCCGACCCTGCTCGGTTACCTCGAACTCTCTTTAGCGCGATGGGCTCCTTGTCCTGTTCCGCTGACATTACCGACCGCCGCGCATGGCTCGCCCCTGGGCCGCGGGAAGCCGGCGTCTTTGATGCGGTGGCCCCTCCTCCTCCGGGTCCTCCTTCTGGTCCTCCGGGTCCTCCTCCTGGTCCCCGGGGTCCTCCCGGCCGAGCTCGGAGCCCAGGCCGGCAGGGCCGCGGACCGACTTTTAAAAGTTTGGGAGGCGGCCGAGGCCTCGGGGCTCCGCACACACGCGGGGCTCAGCCGGGTTCAGGGCCGCGGCCTGGGGGCGGCGCCCGCGCCCGGCCCGCAGAATACGCGCGCCCTGGGCCGCGTTGCGCTGCGCTCCGCCCGCGCGCGGGGGAGACGCGGCCTCCGCGGACACAAAAGCCCCCGGCCTGCAGTGGCCGCTCGGGGGACGTGGCGCGGTCCCGAGGCCTCCCCGCCCCGCCTGTGCTCTACAACCCAGCACGGGGTCGGGCCTCGGGGGCGGGGACCCAGGGCGCGCGGAGCCCCGCACCCTCACCCGCACGGAGCTCCAAGGCCGCGGCCTCGCTTGCGGACTGCGCTGCGCTCCGGGGCCGTGCGCACCAGGCCCCGCGTTAACCCTGCACCCCTATGCGCCGGGGTCCCTGCGCCCTCCAAGGCCCAGTACCGCCAGCTCTGCGTCTCCCGTCTGCGTCCCGCAGCTCGGGCTCCACGCTCTCCGCTGCCCTCCAAGGCCCAAGACTCCCAGGTTCCGCGCACCCCGTGCAGGGCGCAAGGGCGCAACGTCCTGCTCTGCGCTCCCCGTCGCCCTCCAAGGCCCCAAACCCTCCAATTCTGCATCCAGCTCCTCTGCGCCCCGGGCTGCTCTCTGCCCTCTAGTCCCCAAGATCCCCGGCTCCACGCCTCTCTGCACGCCCTGCCCCAGCCTCCCCAAGGAAACAGCAGCTCCCAACTTCATCCCAGCCCCAGCAGGCATCTTGGCCTCGCAGTCGGATTTCAGGAAAACTTTGTCAGAGAAAGTGGCATAGTTCTTAGGTGGGTGTGTGGACGCCCCACATTCCCCGTGCCCGTGGTTCGAACTCGTGTTTCTGCAACGCCCCCTGCCTTGGATATGTAATAACTGGGCTCTTCAAAACAGGGAATTAACAGTAGAAGAGCATTGGGAAAAGGGACCATACATGGGCAAGTTGTAGGGAGATTCCCCCCACGCCAAACCAAGGAGACTATAAGTTAGATTTGACTGGTAGTTCACATTTTCCCCTTGGGCTATGTGACCTGGGACAAATGAGGCACACACTCTTGACGTTCAGTTTCTGATTTATCAAGTGAGTGGTGCTTCATCTCTAAGATGTCTTCTAACTCTGACATTCTTTGATGAACTTTTATGAGGTTTTCTGGTTTGTTGTTAGGTTTTTCTAGTAACTGTACTAAGAGCAACTAGGTGCAGACTACTCTTCAGTTAGGTAAACCACAGTTTGTTTCTACATCTAACCGTAGACAAGTACTCCTTAAGCCCAAGAGGACCTATAACTAACCAAATGGGAGTCTCATCTTTCTATAGACAAGACTTACAGACCTTACAGACAAGGCATTCTAGTGCCCAGGCAATGCCCAAGGTAAAACCCTACATTAGCTGCTTTAGGAAAAGAATAGCCTAGCTGTAGCATGTGGTGGTGCACGGCATTAATCCTAACACTCTGGAGGCAGAGGCAGGTGGATATCTGTGCTCCAAGCCAGCCAAAGCTCCACACTGAAACCTTGTTTCAAAAAGCAGAATACTGAATATTGCCCGCCAGATAAGCATGAGGACCTGAGTTAGGACATGGTGCTTTTACACAGAAATACACACACTCTTCACACTTTTGTGTCTGTCATGGTCTTTCACTCCCATCGCCCCTGGGAGATGCCAGATGCTTATGACGAGTTGTCACTTGGCCTCAGCACACTGATCAAGCCTCATGGATACAAACCTTTAAGTGTCAAAGGAAAGCTGACCTAGCATCATATTGACACCGTCTTGCAGACCTGGAGAAAACCGTCAGTTTGTCAGGATCTAGGATTAGTTAGGCGACTAGCATCAGGGCACGCTTGTGAGGAATGAGTTAGATTATGTTAACTAAGGTGGAAGACCTTAGTCATGGGCGGCACCATCCTACTTTTCGGGGGCTTGGATTGAATAAAGAGAAAGGGAGCTGATCTTTCTGCTTCCTGACTGGGGATGTGATGTGATTGGGCGCTTCATGCTCCAGCATCGTGATACCCATCACGATAGATGTTGTGCTCAGCCTGTGAGCCACAAACCCCGCCTTTCTTTTTTATAATATTTATTTATTTATTATGTATACAACATTCTGTCTGTGTGTATATCTGCAGGCCAGAAGAGGGCACCAGACCTCATTACAGATGGTTATGAGCCACCATGTGGTTGCTGGGAATTGAACTCAGGACCTTTGGAAGAGCAGGCAGTGCTCTTAACCACTTGAGCCATCTCTCCAGCCCCCAAACCCCGCCTTTCTTACGCTGCACTACAGCATAGACAAGTCACTACTAATACACGCTTTTTCCACCCAACTCTCATCTCCCCAGTATAATTTCTCTCAAAAACGTCCCTTCACCTTGCTGTAGTCAAATCCATGAGACCTGAGTTCCAGAGTTGATCTTCACCCCTCAACCAGGTTTCACTCTTCAGAGTGACGGTCTCAGTGCTGAGACCCCGGCTTCAGATACAAAGAAGATTCATCCAGAACCAAATGGGGACAGCCAAGAATAGAATTGAGGCCAACATGCATTTCTAAGGTATGTGAGGGCACAAGTAGACCTATGTGGAGACCAGAGGACAAATTTCGGAAGTCAGTTCTCTCCTTCCACTGTGTGGTTCTGGGGATTGAACTCAGGTCATCAGGATGGCAGCAATCACCTTTACCCACTGAGTCATCTCTTCAGGCCCTGTATGTCTTCCTAATGTAAGTGTTTAAGTTACATGCCCAGGTACTATTGTGCTGTACCCATGAGTGCTTGTTCCTTATTTTTGTTTTTGCACATGCTCAGTCACTTTTACTTGGGTCCCAGCATTAACCGGTCATCTGACTGGACCACTTTTAACCACTGAGTCACCTCTCCAGCTCCAACTTTAGATGTTCTTTTTTTTTTTTAAATATTTATTTATTTATTATGTATACAATATTCTGTCTGTGTGTATGTCTACAGGCCAGAAGAGGGCACCAGACCTCATTCCAGATGGTTGTGAGCCACCATGTGGTTGCTGGGAATTGAACTCAGGACCTTTGGAAGAGCAGGCAATGCTCTTAACCACTGAGCCATCTCTCCAGCCCCTAGATGTTCTTAAAGAAAAGGTTTCCAGGCTCCTCTTGTCATCCCAAACCCTCATTCTAGCATCTTCTTCATGGAGTCAATGCCTTGTGGACCTGAACATGCCCAGAGCCTTTGGGTCACCTCATGTTTGCTTCCTGAACGTGCACCAACCAGCAGGAATGGGAAAGGTGTGTTCTTGCCATTATACAGTACACGCTACGTGGCTACAATTCTTTTTTTTTAAATATTTATTTATTTATTATGTATACAGTATTCTATCTGTGTGTATGCCTGCAGGCCAGAAGAGGGCACCAGACCTCATTACAGATGGTTGTGAGCCACCATGTGGTTGCTGGGAATTGAACTCAGGACCTTTGGAAGAGCAGGCAATGCTCTTAACCACTGAGCCATCTCTCCAGCCCCGTGGCTACAATTCTTAAAGGGAGGCCAGATGCAGGAATACGCACTTAATAAGTCATCCCTTCCAACTGTTCTGATATCCACTCTCTAGTCTCCAAAGAAGGAAAACGCGTACCATTTGCTTTTTAACTAAGGAAAAGTTTTATTTAAACTGTGCAATCCATCAGTATGTAGACAGCAGTTTTCATAAACATTTTGGCATTTAAACTTTCATTCACTTTTTGGCATGACCTGTAGGGCAGAATACAAACCACACGGGGTAGTGGACGGATACTAGGAAATATTTGCTATCATGCTAGGAACAGAAAACAAACCCACATCGTTAAACAACATATGTTTTAAGAAGACGTTTTAAAAAATACATTCAAAAATCAAGACAAACATTCACCGTCTTCACGCAATGGAGTCTGCTGAGCTGGTCCCCTGAGTCAAGTAGAAATCGAATGTAGCTCAGCTCCACAGTCCACGCTGAAGCTGGCAAATGCTGCCCTTACAAGGAAGCAGAGAGTGGCAGGACCCAGAACACCTACTACAGAAAATAACTTAACTGGCTCCCGCACTTCATTAAATTCACATCTTTGAAATAGAAAAAAAAATCCTACACGTACAGACATCAACTTTTGTTCAATGACAGTAACAGACAGACAGATTTTCTTAACACCTGTCCTATACTCTAGAGAGGGGCTAAGGCAATGTCTGTGTTCAGGCTTACCACCAGGAAAGGGTTTTAGTCTGGGAACGGAACAGATAACACAATGTGGCAAATAAGAAACTCTATGACAGCAGGAAGAGTAGCTTTGTTTTTGTTTTGTTTTTTTTTTTAAGAGAGTTCAGTAGGAAAAGAAACATTCTTTCTAAAGGTTTAAGTCAAGAATGTATCAGAAACTTGAGGAAACCTGTAAAACTTTGCAGGCCAAAACTTTGCAGGCCATCGATGGAGCGAAGCTGGCTGATGCGAACAAGGAAAGAGTGCATTTGTTAGAAATGCAGATGAGGTTGGGAGGATGGTACACTTTTAATCTCAGCGCTCAGTGGCTGTGTTCAAGACACTTAGCTTTTCCGTATTGAGCATCTCCTCCTGGCTAGCATCCTGTGAATGGAAACAGCTTTCTCTCTCTGCTAAAGAAATCCCGAATATCAGTCAGGGTAGAATTTGAAGTCATCCTTCAAAACTGAAAGGAGGCCAGCTTGAAATAATCAGACATTAGAACGAACTAGAGCTTTGGGGTCTAAAACATCCAGGAAAAGAACAACTAGAAGATGAAGCAGGTGGAAAAGTTCAGCGCATCCTAGGAACTACACGTGCTGACGGAGTGGGACGAGGCAAGGGCCACGGGAAGCTTCAGAGCTGACCAATTAGAAGGTGGAACATCCGTCACTGTTTAAGTGAAGGCAGAAACCAGGCTGCAAGGCAGTACATACCAGTGTGTTTGGAAAGAAAGCAAAGGGTGATTCTGCCGTCTTGCTCATCTATCTAGGATCCCTTATGCGTTGAGTCCTTTCCTCAGCCCTGCTCCAGCATTATCATTTGAAGAGAGAAAAAAGGTTTCCAAAACTTTCTGATGAATCCAACATAGTTGGAGGCAAATATTTAAGAGATTTTTTTTCCCCTCTGAAAACATAGATAAGATCTGGAGTGGAGTTAGGAGCCAGGCAACGGTAGCATATGCCTTTAATCCCAGCATTTGGGAGGTAGAGGCAGGTGAATCTCTGAGTTCAGGCCAGCCTGGTCTACAGAGCAAGTACCAGGACAACCAGGGCTACACAGAGAAACCCTGCCTCAAATCCCCCACTTAAAAAAAAAAAAGTAAAAGAAAAAAAGTTGAATTGGCTTTGAAGGGGTTTTAGAGACAGATTTTAATGCACTTTGAACAAACTACAGGGCCTATTTTTTCCAGTCTTTGACATTTTAAAGGTGCTTCCAGGGGAAAGGGAACATCAGATTTGCTATATCTTGAAAACCTAGTACCAAGCTTCTGAGAGGAATTCCGCAGAATTGACGGATCTGTAGTAGGAAAACAATGACCACTCAGAAGTCTACAGAGGAACCCTCAGAACCTGTGAGAATCCTACAATACATGACAGAAGAAACTAAGGACATCATCTTGGACGAAGAAGGCCAGAATAATCTAACCAAATGAATACACAGAACCAAA